ACCGCTAATTACCAAAATCAGCGTGCTACTCTTGCTCCACAGAACAGCTATTTTACCACCAGTTAGAGTTAGCAATTTGTATGCATTTCCTTTTTAACAGGTTCTATCACAAGGAACCTGCAGACCACGGTTTACCCACTGCCACTGTCTGTGCTGACACCCAGGGTCCCAGAGATGGCATCCCCAGGGACAGAGGCACCGCAGCCCGCACTAGCTGGGGGTTTTCCTGCCAGGTCGTCTGTCTTGGACACCCGTCAGTAACCTGAGCCCCCGAGGAAGGACCGAGAATGCCTCAACCAGCTACAGGACTACTCTGCACGTGCTTCTTTCCTCCTGATTCCCGTCAGTGTAGATTTAATGAAGTCCCAAAGCAGAAAGTTTTAATATTGCTTCCCAATCTCTAGTTAGTGGCAACTCTAGACATGGCTAACATGCAGAGAGGTACCCAGTCTTGCTAAATTCTGTGCTCAAAGACATCAGGCAGCAACAGGGTCCACAGACTCGTCTCTCGGTGCTCGGGCAGCGTTTCCCCTTTGTGCTGGCTCTCTGTTCGCTGCTCTCGGGCTCCAGGAGGATGGGAGAACAGAGCTCTCTGTTCTCCCTTTATCTCAACCTTCATTTTACACCAAGGTACAGCTTGAAAAGGCTGGACCAACTCCAGTGTTCCCTTTTCCAGCTCTCCACAGGAATACCAAAGGTCTCATGAGGCTCACGGCAGGTTATCCCAAAGCATCCGTTCCAGGCCAGGGGCACATTTGATCCTGAGCTGGTGACAGAGGTGAAGCTCTGAGGAGGCTCCTGCTGCTGCTGGGAGCTGGGACCCACACTGCGAGACAGGAGGGTCAAACGCAACCGGCGGGACTGCAGTGAACCCACGGCATGTGGCACTACAGGCCATGGGAAGAGGCAACAGCTGAGACAGCGGTGGCACAGATAACAGGAGAAGGAGCAGCATGTAGAACCCCTTCTACCCTGAAAACGGTGCTGGACTGCCAGGCAAGCACCAAACACCACTGCCCTGTGGCGTTCAGCTACCCTGACAGCCGTGCAGCTCCGCACGCTCGTTTGGGCTGTCTCAGCCAGGGTGAGCCGATTCCTGTGCGACTGTCGGAGCAGAAGGAGGGACCAGCACAGGCAGAATTGGCTGGCGTGTGCTCCTCTGAGTCAGACACGCTGGCAGCATGCAGCAGGCTGTCAAATGTCAAAACGCAGCAATTATGGGATGCTAAGAGCTCTGCTGGACTGCAAGCGATGGACTCTCAGACACCAGTGCTCGACAGGACCACTGCCATCACCTGCTCTGACCCCTGCATCACAGAGCAGATCCGCTCCTGCCTGCCCAGAGCAGCCCCCCACCAGCACCTCCACCCTGCAGCAAGGCTGGGGGGAGCAGGACCAGGCACCCTGGGGTGAGGGAGTTAACACCACTCGCTGACACCGAGCACCTCAGCTCTGGTGTGAACTGGCCTAGCCACAGCCACTAGCTTGTTGGGATTTTTG